TGGCTAATGAAGATCAATTTATATGTAAAATATATAACATTTACATATGTTTTGATTAATTTAGAAATAAGAATATTAAATTGATAGCATTAACATATGTTTGATCAAAAATATTCAACTTTATTACATTTATGCACAATACATTTCATTTTTATACGTTTACAAATATTAGAAAATCATATGCTTTATCATACACGTTTAAATATTAAAAATTGATATATGTTAAAATCGATTAATCAATTTTGTTCAGTTATTTAATCCCGCGATTGGACGCGGGACAAAATCTAGTCGTGTTTTATTCCAAATACATTAAAACGCTCTGGTGAAACCGTCTCAAACGCCACAATTGCGAAGAGAGACAACACGGTTGGACCGACATCAACATTATAAGATAGGAGAATGATCCCTTGCAAAAGCCAGCAATAAGAACATCGAGTTGAAACTCTGTTTTAGGAGAGTTACTACCACGCAAACGTACGTGGATGAACATAAACACGAACATATCCAAAACAAAGGCTGCCATTACAAAGGAAGAAGCCAAGACAACAACAAAGAAGAGTTACATAGACAGCAATGTCCTCTCAATCTCCTAGAGAGGGGAGAGAGAAAAAACGACTTTCCCCAACGTGATTTTTGTACACAAGCTAATATTTATACATCAAAATTTTTTAGTGAATAGATTTATTAACTTTATTTCAAGATAAAATCGTGTAACTAGAACGAATGTAGCTTCAGTTATGATTTAACTTAATCAACCAAATTGATTGGACAATTGTATAGAAACTTCTGATTTCTTACCCCAAACCAAACGTTTCGTACATAAGAAACTCATGATCAAAAGAAAACACAAAATTAATTCAAATACAGAACTTGGCCTACCACTTGAACGTTTTCTATTGCTAACGCCTCCCAACATGATCCTCGCAAACTTATCAACATGATCCTTGTTGTAAAGTGCCCAGTAACTTGGATGGTATGTCACTCTTCTTCTTCAGCCAGATCGAATTTCTATGCATGCAACATGGATAACTACATACCTTCTAGGATTTTGCCACTAAACAGCTATAAAAATTAGCCGAGCTTAAAGCATAAACCGAAT